TTTTCTAAATGGTGCGTTACTCGCAATGTTCAGAACAGACGATCGAAAAGCTAAAAAGAAAGCTTTGAAGCACCTACAAATTTTCATTGAATATTTATATATTATATCGCGTTTAGAAATGACTTTTTACCTGTCCAACAGGCTCGATTCATCAATATATAGAGATGCACATACATGCTTGATCCAGAAATAATTCTTCAAAATCAAGTTAAAATGAGCAAGCATCTCTAGGACCCCATACAAATTACTGCACAGCCCCAAAGCGGAGTTTGCTGAGGAATGAACAGACAGGGTTTTCTGCACACCCATGCTCTCCAGCAAAGCCTGTTCACTACACAGTTCAATTTTGCTAAATCGACTTTATCCATTTTGTACAGTAACTGTCCAGTAGCTCGAAATGATGCTGGTTAATGACTCTATTACAGAAGAAGTACGCATTAACGTGAGAATTGCGGTTTTTGTTATCTTAACTAATAAATTGCAAAAACGTTTAGACATGGTCTGTTTCTAGTCTTTCTTCGACACATTTAAAGCACAGTCAATTAAGCAGAAAGAAATTTTTCAAAATAGGTTTTAAGAGAAGTTTGAAGAATCTCTGTATCTGCCCGACACAAAAATTCTGTGTATGCTCTGAAATGACAAAGCTTTTTTCCCAGTAGTTTACAGGATGCAAATCAAAAAATAATTATCTTATGAGGCTATCTATTCTTCCCCAAATCAGTGCACAGTATATGAATCAAACCAAAGTGAATTGGCGGTGTTATGTACAAATTTTTGAAGGATGTTAGCAGGAATATGTATGATGTTTAGATGGAAACATGCACTAGATGGTTTGTCTAGAACATATTTCTGAAGTTTGTCTTTTTTGATAAGAATCATCAGGTATATTCAAGATATGACTCGAATACATGAATTGCTCAATTGCCTCTAACATTTGATAAAACTTTGCAATCTTACGAGCTGCAATCAGTGACTGTATAACTCCAATTTCAAACATTAAGAAAGTGGAATATCCTGGTCAATGCCATAATTAGATTCAGTGCAGTACATCTAAAAGTTTGCATTGAGTTGTAATGGCCACTTCGACTGGGATGTAACCTTTTGTCGTAAACACTACATTGAAAGTTCTTCTAATGAAGTCACGTTGGTCACTATTACAACAGCAATCACTAGGTTAACACAATGGCGTAAATGAATCAAAGATCAGCATGCGTCAAATAAACGTGATTTATTTTCTTGTCGTTTCATCCATTAATTACAATTATTAAGTAGATAATAGCAGTTAAAGGGAAGCTACCTGAAATATTTTAAGCGTCTCAGCTAAAGCTCCTGGTTTTTCTTTGAGCGTAAAAACAATAGTGGTCTTGCCGCCGTCCGAGTTGACGTCAGCGACATATGACTCCATGTATTCCTGAAGAAAACTAATGTCTCTGAGAAAATGTGTTAATAAGGACATGTGTCGCCAACTTAGAACATGTAATGTAAGAGATCTTCAAAG